TAACAGGTGTCTGTCAAACTGCGATGACTGCGGGAAAGACACCAGCGGACTGGAGAACGGAGTTATTGTACCCGTATTCAAGAAGGGAGACCACCTACTATTATAGGAGCATAACGTTATTCAGCCTCCCAGGTAAAGTCTACGCAAAGGTGTTAGAAAAGAGGTTCCGTGAAATAGTTGACGTCAAGATTCTAGAAGAGCATTGTGGCTTCCCGCCCGGTCGAAGCACCACTGACCATATATTTGCCCTGCGCCAGATTGTTGAGAAATCGTGGGAGTCCGCCCAGCCGGTGTACATGTGTTTTGTGGACCTAAAGAAAGCGTATGACCGGATCCCACGCAACGGTCTGTGGACATGCCTTCGTACATACGGGATTAATGGCAAGTTGCTGAGGGCCATCCAGTCATTGTATTCTGATAGCAGGTGCTGTGTCACAGTTTATGGCGTTAAGTCGAAACCATTCTGTGTTCGCTCTGTTCTCCGCCAAGGCTGCGTCCTGTCCCCTATCCTGTTTCTGTTGTACATGTTGAGAATAGTCAGGAGCTGCCAAGGCGATGAGGGTATCGATATAGGAGATGTTAATTCGAGAAGGTAGCTGTTTGGAGACAACCCTGTTTTATTAGCATCTTCTGAAACTGATCTCCAGTGCTCCTTAGAAAAGTTCGCAGCCGAATGCGACGTGACCGGTGTGCGTGTGAACGCATCTTAAAAGGAAAAGCCTAATGCTTTTTCGTTCTCCTGCCCGTTGCTCTCTTCAGATTAACGGAGAGGCAGTGGAGCAGTTGAAGAAGTTCAAGTACCTCCGAACTATATTTACTAGTGATGGAAAGTTAGAGGAAGAGATCGACAGGCGAATTGAAGTAGCGAGTGGCGTTCTTCGTGAACTAGCGCGACCCATTGTGACGAAAGCAAAGCTCAGTCTGAAAACTAGGCTCTCAATGTTCAAGTCGATCTTTATCCCCATACTTACCTACGGTCATGAATCGTGGACCATCACTGAA